CAGGAATGCAAGGAGGTACTCCAAGAAGGGTATGCCATGCAAGGGGGAAGCAGAGCCATTTCCTTTGCATCTGCCAGTGCGTTGATGACATTAATCAGGGCCAGCAGTGAACGGTTGATGTTGGCCCCCTCTCGAAGCCGCTCCCCCTTTGTATTGGTGGCTGATGCGCGCTCCGAGCCTGCCAGGTCAATCAGGCTCATCTTGGCCATCTGCAGGTCTTGTGTGATGCCAACGACACGGTCCTGCTGCTTCACATAGATCTGCAAGGACAGGAAGAGAAGATAATGAGGAATGGTAAGGCAAAGCCTTAAGACCAGCTCAGCCCATTCAGCAGGCAATGTCTTATGGTAACGGACAGCAGAGGCCTGAATATGAACTCTCCAGGGGTCTGTAAGGTCACCACTCGGAGGATTCGCTGCGGGGCTAGCCATATCACAAGCAATGAAAGCAAGAGCCTGTGTTTCCTCTCCACTCGCTGATCTACTGTGTCACTTTGCCACGCTACAGGTCAGCTGCCTTCCCCATGCCTGGGGGACCGGCGGAGGGAAAACTCTGCTCTGCCTTCCCCACACTCCGTTCTAGGAACTCACAGGCCAGAAGACCAACTCTGCTTTCAGGTTGAGGGAGGAGAACTCTGCAGCAGATAGCGGCTATGACGGGCTAGCAGGTGTAGCAGTCCACAAACTCCACGTTGACTGTCACTTGTACTGAACCTTCGTGTTTGCCTTTTACTCTCCACACTGAACTGGGCAATCTTAGACTGTGCCCACTGGCAACGAGTTAACAAGAGACCAGTCAGGTCACTAACCTGCATGGGACCCATTCCTGGAAGAATGAGCTGTCCTTAGGCTGGTGGGCTCGTCAGGGGAACCGGTGTTCCCAGTCTGAGTGGTAGGTGGGCTCTAACCAAGCAGTGGCACCAGACAAGGGACCTGAAGCTGATGGAGGGAACTGGAACTGTAGAAAAGGACAAGTTCTGCTCTGACCGAGGGCTCTTTGTAACAAGGCTGTGCAGGAACAGACCGTCCAGGGACCAACCCCCCAAGGCTCCGAGGGGTGAGGATGCTGGAATGAGGGTTGGTACCTGCTGTAGGTTTGTATCGCTCTTGTGCTTTGTCTATTAGTGAAGGACGACGGACTGAGAAATGCTCTGAGTCCCTTTCTCTACTGTCCAAAGGGTGAAATAGCACCGAGGGGCTGTAGCTTTGGTGGATCCCGGGCGACATGCGTTTGCTACGGGGGAGGCCAGCAGCAGACGGACTGCAGAATCCCATCTCAGGAAGGGGTACTAGACAGAGGATCTGCACCCTGAAAGTGTGCCTGGAAGCCCAACCTTGAGACAGTGTCTAGACTCTGGCCCGATCCAAGCACCCTAACAGCATGTGGGATCTAACAGTTGTGTCCAAAAAGCAACCTGGTGAGTGTCCATACAGGGGGGCTCCTCCAGGGCATGTCCACACTACAGAGTTACTTCGAAATACCAAGGCGAGCACCACACAGGAGGCCCAGTATTTCGGAATGATTTCCAAGTAAAGGCCTTGCTATAGCGAAACAATAACCCCGCATTCACCAAGGAATAACGCCTAGTTCAAAACTGCTAGTTTGGAATAGGGTCCGTGTGGACACTCAGCTGCTGTGATTCCAAAAGAACTGCTCCCCAGGGTCATTCCAAGTGCTTCCTGGGGCTCTAAGTTCAGGTAGCGCAGCCACATTAAGGGAGCCTGCCTTGGACTCATTTCGAGGCTTCTATTTCGAGTTACTATCATCTATATAGTAGCCCATTGTCCGTGCGTCTGTAACGCTGACGTACACGGCCCCGCCCCCCTTCCCCTCCCTCCGTAGTGGCTTGGCCGAGTGCTGCGCTGCTCAGCTGGGCCCCGGCGGGGGAGCAAGCGGCGGCAAGCGGCCGTTTGGGGTCCGCGCTCCCCATGCATGCAGGGGGTGTTGCATAGGGAGCGCGGGGCCCAAACAGCCATTTGCGCCGCTTGCACCCCACCAGTGGCCAGCCGGAGGGGCCCAGAAATCCGCC